TTTTTTTAAAATAAAGATTGATTTATTTATGCATACAAGAACTGGGATGTAGGACAGAGGTATGGGGGGGTGGGAGTGAGAGGATTCACCAGAGACAGAGTGGGGAACAGAACAGGCAGATCTACTGAAATACACTGCTGAGGGGAGCAGCAGGTGAGATGAGAGGTCTGCTGTGCCGTGTGGGTAGCTCCCTGGCCAGGGATTGAACTTGTGCTACAGTGGCTGTGGATGGCTTCATAGTGCTAATGATTAACCCCTTGGGCCACCATGGAGGCCCCTAGATGTACTTGTTCTTTTTTTTTTTTTTTTAAAGATTTGTTTGTTTGTTTATACAAGCACTGGGTACAGTCAGAAGTGCCGGAGGGTGAGAGAATCCACCAGAGCCAGAGCGGGGAGCAGAACAGGCAGAAGGACCGAAGTACACTGCTGAGGGGAGCAGCGGGCAGCAGGATAGGTCTGCGTGCCATATGGGACCCTTGCCAGCAGTAGGGGGATTGAGGCTGTGGGCAGCTTCAAAACCCAGCACTCAACCGCTGCTCCACCAGGGAGGCCCTAGATGTACTTGTTCTTAATGGATGAAAAGTCACCTAAAAATCCTGTTGCTATTATGTCAATTTTAAAGAAGGGGTAATTTACAGTCTTTACATTCTAAGGAATAATAATTCTATTAACTCCCAAATACACATGCTTTCACAGACTGTCCTGCGGGCCTTCCTGGTTGGCATTCTATCACCAGACAACTTCCGGAATTTCAATTCCTTTAAAGCTTCTTATTCCCACTATAACAAACCCCTACCAGGAGGCTTCTGAGCACTTTCCCCTTCTGACACAGTTAAACTCACCAGGCGAACAAGCTCTCTCAGAGAACTTCTGGCACAAGACTGCTGGAACTGGGAGGGGCAGAGACCAATTTAAATATGCACAACCTCAGAAGTTTGGTTCAAATTTAGTCATTTCAAAGGGGCAGCTTCCCTGGCCTGCTTATGCTCACAAGCTGACGGAGTTATTTGAACATGGATTCTGGATCACCCCCTTCCTGTTGTTTTTATTCTTATTTTAGCTTCCTGGTTTTACCTTCTCCTTGTTGAGTCATTAGAGGTGGCTGTGGTCATAAACTCTGAAGAGGCTACATTCTAAAGGTGGTTGAACTTCTTCAACCTTCTTTACCCTCTGTCCAAGGGCCCTGCCTTCTGTGAGACATAAACTCTGGCAGACAAGGGTTGGGAGACCCAAAACATTGCTTTTGGAGGAGTCTTTTCTCTTTTTTTTCTTGGAGTTCAATATTTTTCAATAATTTCCGATATGGCTATACTTACTTTACTGTAAGTTTTGCCTGGGCCAGAGGTAACTGTTTAAATCTACAGAAATGGCAAAGCAATTGCCTTTCTTAAAACATTAGTACCAGTACCCCATATCTTGTATGCATAAATAAATAAATCTTTTTTTAAAAAAAAACCATTGGTACCAGATCTCTGAATTGGTATTTTCTCTTGTTACCCATTTTATTTGTTGACTGGATGTATAAAGATGTTTACAGACTTCAGTTGGCTTTTGGGGTAATTTGCATGACTTTTTAAATGGCTGGGGTTCCATTTGACTGTTTGCTTTGAGGTTGTGATGTGTGCAGGTTTTTTTTTTTTTTTTTTTTGTGGCATCTTGTTGACATCAAATCTGACTTTGATAATAAATACCAATTCCCCAATAAAAAAAGGAGATTTGACTGGGAAGCCTTGTATGATTCTAGGTAGCAGCTGTGTTACTGGCCCTTGCGCTGGCTTGGGGCAGACCACAATGACCGAACTGAACACGCTGGCCAGGCTGCAGTCCACCTGTGTCCCTCCCATGGGGGCCAGGGCAGGTTTGGGGCTGTTCCCTCTGCCTCACCCCACTCTGCCCCATGCCAGGATTGTGCAGGGGCCCTGTGGTTGAGGTTGAGTGGGATGGTGGAAGGAAGCAGCATGGGTTTGAAAGATGATGTAGTTCATGCTGTGACGAGTATTTTCTGGCTTCTGAGGCTGGGGAGTCTGGGGTACAGCACAGACATTAGTCAAATCCTATTTGGTATAATGAACAACTATTTTCTCTTTTCTGCCTAAATTTTTTCCCACTAAAATAAGTGAGATTGTATTGGATGAAAATAGACTGCCCCAAAAAGTAAATAAATAGCTTTTTTTTTTAGAAAATGGAGGTTTCTAAATAAGCAAAATAAAATAAAAAAATAATTCAAAAGGTAACCCTCAAATTACTATAGTTAGTTAAATCCAAAATTCACATATTTTAATACATGCCTTATGGACTCATCAAGCTGTAAGTTCCCCTAATGCCCTTAAATTCTTTTAAATTGCTAGCATTCTTCATGAATATATAATCTTTCCCAAATAGATAATAAGCTATTTGTAGAATTATAATAGATAACTTTTTTAAAATATACTGTTTATTATATATTTTACATCATTATTCATTTTTGTACAATGTTTGCTTTTTCCTCTCAGCTAGTCCCCATAGAATTGATACTTTTTTTTGGATTATAGCTTTGTTTTTTTTTTTTTTTTAAGATTTATTTATTTATTTATACAAGCACTGGGTACAGTCAGAAGCGCGGGAGGGCGAAAGAATTCACCAGAGTCAGAGCGGAGAGCAGAGCAGACACACTGAGGAAGTACACTGCTGAGGGGAGCAGCGGGCGGCAGGAGAGGTCTGCGCCCCCCAGCAACCGGGGATTGGACCCTCGCCCAGCAACCGGGGATTGAACCGGCGCTGCAGAGGCTGTGAGCAGCTTCGCAACCCAGCACTCAACCGCTGAGCCATCGAGGAGGCCCAGTACCTTTTTTTTTAATGTTAGGATTCCTTAGCTAATTACATGACAGGCTCATACTACGTTTATCTAAATTCCCCTTCAACTCTGAAGGTTTATGCATCTACACATTGCTTTCTTAGTTTCTGCTTTTGTTTTCATTCAAAACTGCAATATAAAATCTATTCTGTTTTTATAGTTATAAAGTAGTTTGGAGAACTGTTACGATAATTACTTCTGATAGAAACAAATCGGTCAAATCTTGAGTAAGAGCGGTGAACCAGAATTATTGGCAAAATAAAGAGAGTTGCATATAACACCCCAGTATCTGCCAATCATGCCATATTTTTGGGTGGGTGGTGAAACTTAATTCATCCCATGTCAACTCTGGTCAACTTATATCTGCTACAACCTTGCTGCATTCTCTAGAAAAGAATACCAGGTTTTATTAGCATTAATGTGTTAGCATTAATTTATTAGTGTTAATTAATTGGGGAGACAGAGGTGGCAGCACTTTTCTCACTGTTGGTTTCTTGTGCCCCTGTGGAAGGTGGCCAGGTCGAAGCCACCTTTGACAAAGCTAGAGCCTTTCCCAGCTGTCTCGAGAAAAGTGACTAAATTGGATTGGTGAGGAAGGAAGGAGGAAGAAGTGGGTAGTCTGGCTCCTCTTCCCCTATTCTTTCAGGAGTGTACTTCTAGCAAAGAGCTGGGACTTGTCTTATCTTCCTTTTTTTTTAATATTTTATTTTATATAATTCTTACATCATTTTTCATCCTTGCACAATGTATGCATTTTCATTTTGGTTATATTCCCCATACAATTGCACCCCCCCCCCTTATTTTGACTCTAGTTCTTCCTCTCCCCACCCTTCCCCAGTGTGTCTCTGGTTTATAGTTGCTTGTTGATTTTGATTATTACTTTGTATTGATTAGTCTTTTTCCTGGTCTCTTATTTAGATTTTCTAAATTCCTGCTCTGAGTGAGACCATCTTGTCAAAGGGCTTTGCACTGTATTTGTTGGAGGAGGCTGATTGGAACTCACTGTGTACTACTGGGGAACATAATTATGAAGCCCACTATTCCATAGATATACCTTTATTTCCCACAACAGTTTATGAGGATAGGAAGTGAAATTTTGGTGTCTCATCTGCCTTATTCTCCTGTTTCATTTTCCAATTGGTTCAGAAATCAGACTGGAAATGAATGTGCTATTTATATTTATGATTCTGTCCCTCAGGCATCCAAGAGAAATACATGTTGGGTTCACAGGTATAGACTAAGCCCAATTAATTTCTTAAAGTAGTAGTTGTTCTGATTTCTGAATTGCTTTTTTTATTTTACACATTAAAGAGTGTTTAAGAATAATAGCATTTCTAGAATGGCATAAGATAATCTACCACTGCTTTTATAGCCATGAAGGCAGAGCAATACTTAATCCTCTAAAGTCATATGGACATCTTTCTTCAGAATTATACAACCTGCCACAGGGAACTTGCTTTCTTGTGTTTTATATGTCATATTAAAATGGGGAAAATTACTCTTAAACTGCCTGCATCTCAATACTATCATAGAATTGTCATCATTCAGACCAGAGGAACAGGTTTCCTAAAAGTCTTCTTCAAGGCAACCGGAGGAAAAAAAAGCCAGGGTGACCAAAGTTAGATCCTGGGTTCCTGGGAAACTAGGATGTTGCCTGGAACATTATTTATTATTTTTTTAAATATTTTATTTTATATAATTCTTATATCATTTTTCATTTTTGCACAATGTATGCATTTTCATTTTGGTTATATTCCCCATACAATCGCACCCCCCCCTTATTTTGACCCTAATCCTGCCTCTTCTGCCTCCACCCACCACCCACCCCCACCCCCACCCCGCCGCTTGGAACATTATTAGCATTAATCGGAAACATACATGGAAAACCAGGACAGGCTAACTACCCTCCAGGACATAACCTAGCACCTCGTCAATGCACGTCAGCTCTTCTCTCCAGTAATATTATCAAGGAAAATATTGAGTTTGCTGAAAAACAAGCTCTTTGTATTGGCCATGATATAACAAGCTCTGTAATCCCTATGATATTTGCTTATTGAAAGCCTTGTGATAATAAGGCTGAAGTTAAAATGCATATGCCCTATTAGACTGTATGGAGTACATACATAGTTCTCAATTTTCTTTAACTCATTTTCTACTTTCTTTGCAGGTTTGTGATTCTGATACCATGCTTGATCCTGCCTCATCTGTGGAGATGGTAAAAGTTTTAGAAGAAGACCCCATGGTTGGAGGTGTCGGGGGAGATGTCCAGGTGTGTATGGCTTCACTTTTTGGCATGGGTCACTTTTTTTTAAGATTTATTTATTTATGCATACAAGAGCTGGGATACAGGCCAGAGGTGAGAAGATTCACCAGAGACAGAGTAGGGAGCAGAACAGGCAGACTGACTGAAATACACTGCTGAGGGGAATAGCGGGCGAGACAGGAGAGGCCTCCTATGCCATGTGGGTAGCTCCCTGGCTGGCTGGAGATTGAACTCATGCTGCAGTGGCTGAGGATAGCTTCATAGTGCTGAGACTTAACCCCCTGTGCCACCAGGGAGGCCCCTTGTCATGGGTCACTTTTAGCAGGATGAGTTGTCAATTAGCCAGAAGATGAGAGAAAAATACTACAAAACCTTCAAACCTCAAATGGTTGAGAAGGATGTCTGCAAGAAGAATGTAGGGACTGAGAAGTAAAGGGTCTGCAAAAAAAGTCAGTATTATAACACAACAAGAATTAAAACAAAGACAAAGTAGAAAGAGTACAGGGAGTGATGAAGTAGAAAAGGAATTTTAATCAAAGAATTAAAACAAAGGCACTCAACTTATTTAATGGATCCAGTTATATAGAATCCGTGAAAACGAAATATCCTGTCAAAAAGAGGAAGGAAGCAAAAAAGGGAGATATTAACAAGCCTCACTCTAAACAGTAGCCTCAGGGTGGTGTAAACTCTGTTGGCATTTTCAGCTAAGGCTTACCTTTTATTTATGCATCTCTTCCTCCTCACAGATTTTAAACAAATATGACTCCTGGATCTCCTTCCTCAGCAGTGTGAGATACTGGATGGCGTTTAACATAGAAAGGGCCTGCCAGTCTTATTTTGGGTGTGTCCAGTGTATTAGTGGACCTCTGGGAATGTACAGAAACTCTTTGCTGCATGAATTTGTGGAAGACTGGTACAATCAGGAATTTATGGGCAGCCAGTGTAGTTTTGGCGATGATCGGCATCTCACAAACCGGGTGCTCAGTCTGGGCTATGCAACAAAATACACAGCTCGCTCCAAGTGCCTCACAGAGACCCCTATAGAATATCTCAGATGGTTAAACCAGCAGACTCGTTGGAGCAAGTCCTACTTCCGAGAGTGGCTGTACAATGCAATGTGGTTTCATAAACACCATTTGTGGATGACCTACGAAGCCGTTATCACTGGATTCTTCCCTTTCTTTCTCATTGCCACCGTCATTCAACTCTTCTACAGGGGTAAGATTTGGAACATCCTCCTCTTCCTGTTGACTGTGCAGTTAGTAGGTCTCATAAAATCATCTTTTGCCAGCTGCCTAAGAGGGAATATCGTTATGGTCTTTATGTCCCTCTACTCGGTGTTATATATGTCAAGTTTACTTCCAGCCAAGATGTTTGCAATTGCCACAATCAACAAAGCTGGGTGGGGCACATCTGGAAGGAAAACCATTGTAGTTAATTTCATAGGACTCATTCCTGTGTCGGTTTGGTTTACAATCCTCCTGGGAGGTGTGATTTTCACCATTTACAAGGAATCTAAAAAGCCATTTTCAGAATCCAAACAGACAGTGCTGATCGTCGGAACATTGCTCTATGCATGCTATTGGGTCATGCTCTTGACGCTGTATATGGTTCTCATCAACAAATGTGGCAGGCGGAAGAAGGGACAACAGTATGACATGGTGCTTGATGTATGATCTTACGTTGTTGGACGATTGCAGTCACACATGCAGACACACACAAAACCTTAGTTCCTCTAGGGACTGTACAATGTTGTGGCATCACAGGCCACCAAAGGAGACATATCAGTGCTGCTGGGACTTGAACAAAGACATTTCTATGGGTTTATTTTGATTCTGCCAAAGTAAAATGATACATCAACAAGAAGAAACTCAGATTTAACCTGTTATTTCTATGAAAATGGGAAGAATTCTTTGTTTATGCACTTTTTCCTTACTGTACATCCGCCTAACAGTGTTTTGCCCTATATACCTCACTAGTCATGCTTTATGTGGGTTATCATGGAAGAAAAGGATTTCGGAAACTCAAGGAAAAGTTCGTTCAACGTATACAACCTAACTTATGGACTGTGTTGATAGCTAATTTTTTTTTTTTTAGAAAGGATTTTCTGTTTAACTCTACCAAATGAAATGCCAAAGGAAATTTTAAAGACCGTTGGCTGTGCTGTATTTTTATATAATTGTACTGTGTTTTAAAATTTTGTATGCCAATTTTTAAAACAGATTTTGCATATTTTATATTTTACTTCTCTGCCAAAATACACCTGTTCTTCCCTTTTTTAAAAAAATAAAATAGGTTCTGAAAAAAATTCCTACTTAAAGAAACCTACCCAAAATGTGAAGCTTGGTTGACTGATGTTGTTCATGATAGAAAGAATAAAATGTTGCTCTCTCTCTCGACCTTTTAAAATTGAATAGATTATTTCTGTGAAAAAGCATTTCAACTTTCAATATTTTCACTTTTTTCCCATTTCTTTTAGAAAAGGCCCATATGCCTGTCAAGAAAGTCATTGAAAATCAAGGCCAAAGGGGTAGAAAAGTGCAATTTTTTTTCATAAAATTAAAAAAAGGAATGCTAACCCTGGTAAGAAAACCCTAGGCATCCAGCACTGGACAAAACATGAGCATCACAGATAAATTCATCTTTGAAGATTCTGGCACTGTTTTCCCAGGCTAAGTAAAGTGGAAAGTGGAAAAAAATCATCTTGTGTAATTCTGGCAAATACAATGCAGTTCATTTTGTTCTGTGCCTGAATTCTCCAGATTCCGGTTTTTTTTTTTTTTTTTTTTTGTAGCTTACATAGTAGTATGAGGTTTATAGAGATGATTAGATAAATTACAATCAATATAAATCATATAACTCAAAATTGACAAATTCAAACTTTCTAGAATGCAATGTTCCTGAATTATACAGATGCTTGCCACACCTCTCCCATTCTTGGCCTCCATAAATATGTTTACATAGTAGAAATGATATCAAGGTTTAATAAACATGTCAAGATTTGGCATATAAAAACTTGAAGCAGGTACTCTAAGCCAGCTATTTTAGCTACTCCAGGGCTTTGACTATCTAGATTGACTTTTGACAGACCCATCTGGCCTTGTAGCTGGTGCTGTGTAGACCTGTGTCAAAAAGACAACCGAATGAACACATGAACAGTTGTATAGAAAGTATAGTGAGGCAGCAGCTGTGTGGGGAAGTGTCCTGCTTTTCCGCTTCCTTCACATCTATGTTCCATCCACCCTGGCTAAGAAAAAGCTTCACATTCTGCCTTTGGAGTACAAAGTGGTACATTACATTCTGCAATCAGACTCACAGATTGGAGGGCCCATAGGAAACTGACACACCCTGCCGATAAATGGGATAAAAACTTGAGTTTTCCTTTGTGACTATTTATGTTCTAAGTTAAGCTTTGATAACATTCAAGTGTCAAATTCTCTCATTCTTATAAAAGATTGAATTAATTGCCTGTATTTATTTTAGCAATTATTCAATGTATTTCCAGTATAGGATGTATAGTATAATTGATTTCTTTGTAAATAAAATATTTTTGATAAGATTATTGCCTTTTTTTCTAAGGGAAAGGGGAATTTAAAATGGCAAAACATCATTTTCCTGATTGTAATGGTATGGCTTTAAGAATGGAGTAACTAGAAAAATAAACAAGCATGGTTGATTAGAAGTCACTTAATGATGCAAATCATAAGTAGAAGTTCCCAAAACTAGTGTAGTTTGAAAATCTGGAAAACAGAGACACACAGAGAGAGAGAGAGAGAGAGAGAGAGAGAGAGAGCGCCAATATAATTCTCATCTCTAATCTTCTAATTTCCTTGAAAGTAACACAACTTAGAGAAAAGCTATTACGAGAATTTTTCACAGTAAGAAAAAACAGATTTTCTGCAAGTTTGGTACTTACAAATAATAAAACCTTGACAATAGCATAATGTAATGAGGACAGTAATTAAATGAAAACTATGGCATCTCCAAACAATGGAATACATTAGCCATTGAGCAGAATGTTCTCAGAGAATACGAAGATGTTGGGGAAATGTTACATTAGAAAGATATATAACCATTTTGTACAGGTAACATCCCAATTTTGTAAAACAAAAATGTTTAAACATTACCTCTATTACTGAGAATATAACCAATTTATATTCTGTATACATTTTTGTATTTTCCAAATTATAATCATGTATTGCTTTTATAATCAGAAAAAAGGACAATAAATATTGCTTTTTTAAAAAAAGTGGGTTGGGGCATCTAATAGCATTTCCTGGTTTGAAAAGCTCTGATAATTATTCCATTTTATAACACCTTCCTCAAATTCACCTTATTCCCCAATTCTTTATTACTCAGCTCCTTTGTTACCTTGGTACAGCTACAGTTATATTATAAAAAGGAATAGTCACTGAATATTCCCACCTTAGACGCCAGACATAGTAATAGTTCTAGTCTAACAATTCACTGTTGACATCGTTTGGTGCTCCTCTAACAGAAAGAGAGGACCCTACGTGTCCCAGGCTGGCCATAGGGTCTTCATACGACAGTTCAGCTCTGCTGTTGTAGTGCAAAAGCATTCAATGGCAACATGTAAATGAATGTGCATGGCTATGCTCCAATAGCAGTTTGTTTATAGACCTTGAAATTGGAATGTTGTGTATTTTTCACATGTTACAAATCTTTTGATAGTTTTTAATCACTTAAAAAATTAAAAACTAATTTTAGTTCACCAGCATTAGCAAAACAGGTGATGGGTCAGATTGAACCTGACTATGCCTTAATGACACCTGTCCTTTAGTAGACATATTGTACCCTTTGATTCTCATGGTGACATCTAATATCTTAGTCTGTGCTCTGGGTAAGGTGCTAACAGCACCACATTTTATACATCAGTATCTAGCTCTCATATTAGTCCTGAGGGGTTCCATTATCACCATTTCACAGGTGAGAGATCTGAAGAGATTTGGCACCTTGAGATCACACAGCTAGTCAGTTGTGGGGATGGAACTTAAGGGCAGACATTCTGTGTCAACTGACCCTTGAAACTACCACTATTTAGAGCAGTGTCCAGTGTTCAGAAGCATCAATATTACCTGGGAATTTGCTGTATATGCAAGTTCATGGCTCGTTCCAGACATTCAGAATCAAAATCTCTGGGACAAGACCACAGAATCTGTGTTAAATAAGACCCTACCCGGCTTATACATGTATTAGAGTTTGAGAAGCATTGTCCTAATCTGCTTTCCTTCTGACACTTCCTATGATATTGGCAAATTCAAATTCAATACAAATATTTGTATTTTCTATTGAACTTTTCTATTTATTAATCATACGAGGATGTTAGGAGCAAACAATCAAAAGGTGTATATTTTCTCTGTTCAAAGAAGTATGTAAGTACATGGCATTTTGATGCAAAATGAATAATAAGGGTATACAGAGTGGCATAGGGCTAGCAAAAGAAGGAATTAACAAATATGATAACTGTAAACACCCTTCAAGATAGCGTGGTGACGTTTCCTACACACACTTTACACGAGTGTGGTGTTACCTTCTCATGGCTGTCATTTGCCATATAAAACTCTCCTCAGATATCGCCCTCTACAGAAGTCCCTAACACCCAGGTCACCCGAACCCCACAGCACCTCTCACCCACCCTCTGTTACCGCTATTCCACATTGTGTTACTATCCTCTTTCTCTAGATTCTGAAGACACAGTGTGAAACACAGATGGGGTCTCCAGCACAGCAGGTGCTCAGCAAGCATGGGGAGGGGTATGTTAAATGCGTTCAATGAGAAAAAGTGATTTATAGTGTGTCTGCATGGAAATATATATACTCTCACTTTGTGTAATTTTATTTATCCATGAGCTTATTTGATTTTCAGCAAGTAGTTAGGTGTCTCCTATATACCAGGCTTTGTGCTCAGAAGGAAAAACTGTTAATATGGTAAGTGCTTGTGCTTTCTGAGCCCTGAGATGTTGAAAGATCACCCATGAAATAGAAATCTTGGATTCTCAGGTGTATTCAGGAAAGAGTGAGTAATTAGTTTTTTTCCACAGCAGCAGAAATTCGCACAAACCCTTAATGTGAGCTTTATGAATCTGCAAAAGAGGCCCACCCCATATAGAAATTCTTACACTTAGATGACGATGCTGTCCTTCCCACGGAGATGTCAGCATCTGGATTAACAGGAGGACCCTGCACTGCGTAGTGTAGGCAAGGCTGCTGTATAATTCCTGACACCATGAGTTGTATTTGTTTTCACTCAAGATCTATAACAACATTCAGAGCTTAACCTCCTTATTACTTGAGTAATCAGCTCCAGGTGTGGAGACCACAGGGCTCAGAGGGAGGAGCCTTTGGGCTCACTTGGCTCATTCCTCAAGCTACAGAAACCGGCTCTTTAAAAGACTTCAGTAACACACTTGCTGGTAGAAAGCTCTACATACCATAATTTAGTTAAACTTAAATGACTTGCAGCTCTGCTCTTCAGGGCAAAGACTTACCCTGCTGTATTGGCAGAATGTACAATGAGTGGGTTAGCACCATCTCTAACACAACTTTGGCAATACATGATTCTCTATTTTGGAATGAGTTGATGGTTGGGTCACAAAATCAACTGTGATCATTTTTTAACCAGGTCAGGAAAGAATCACAGTACACAGGTTCACAATCAAGGTGAGCATAAGTACATATCCCACCTCTCCCACAACACGTGATAAACCCTTTCAATTAAAAACCAACATATGCAGATGAATGTTTTAAGGAATTAAGAGTCCTGGAAGAAGGAACTTTGGGAATCACAGTTGAATGGCTGTTTTCATGAAGTTATTAGAATCACTGTAGAAAGGAAAACTTAAGGAATTTTCGTTCAAACCAACACAGCTGCCTCAAGTGTTTATTGGAATGAGGCAAGGGATAAGAGAAGAAAATCCAGGCTCCCTATCTCAAGTGCAGGCCAGGTGGTTTTAGTGCCTTGCTCAAGGCTTCACAGCTGACAACAAACCCTGGGGCTAACTAACATCTAAGTCTCTTGTACCCAGATGTTTTGGGCCTGTTTTATAATTCAGAAAACCTCAAATTTGCAGTTCCAGGGCAGCTACTTTACTTTTAAATTGGACATATTGAGACTCTGCTTACCTCCATTCCCCTGGCAAGGAGCTGTAAATAAACTCTCAGGCTTATGGGTCTTTGATATTCGGATTTTAAGCAGAAAGCTACCCCAGGTAGTCCACCAGTTCATGAAACTGTCAGCCCCATTGAGACATGTCAAAATAGGTCAACAAAGGGGATGCTGGGTCTCCTCTGGTGGTGCAGGTGGTTGAACACAGCCCTGTGAAGCTGTCCACAGCCTCTGAAGCGCCAGTTTGATTCCGGCCGGCCAGCGAGATAGCCACATGGCTCAGCAGACCTCTCCTGACTCGCCCGCTGCTCCCCTCAGCAGTGTATTTCGTCAGTTTGCTTGTTCTGTTCCCCGCTCTGTCTCTGGTGAATCCTCTCACCCTCCTGCACATCTCACCTGTACCCCAGTTCTTGCATGATGAATAAATAAATCTTTAAAAAAAAAAAAACAACAATGGGGATGCTGAAGTCCTTGCCTCTCCCTAAAATTGTTACCATCTACCCACTGAAAAGGGGGTCAGGCCAGAGCAAATTGGCCCGCCCATCACTGCGTATATGGACTTTGGTTGCAGGGCTGACTTGTATTCAAATGAGGCTCTGCTACTTGTTATCTGTGCAAACTAGAGAAAATTACTCCACTTGTTTGAGCCTTATTTTCCTTATTTAAGTAACAATGATAATTGAATGACACTCCCCTTTCAGAGTTATTGTATCATCAAGTCAGCACTTAAAAAGTGCCTGGGAAGAATACAAAATAGGAGCATAATAAGGATTTCTTCCTCCCTGCTTCACAATTAAGTTCATTAGTGTTCCTTCTTTTGTTCCTTAATTCTTTCTCCCCCGCCCCCATTTATTTCTATCTCCAAAGTCTATTCAGAAAACCACTGGACTAAAAGGCTGGGATATTTTATTCAAATAATAAGACATTTTATTCTCAAAAATGAATTTTAATTCACCCATTTGTTAGCCTCTGCACAGCCTTGCGATTTTCTCTGGAAATATATGGAGTCCCTCTCCTATTAGACAGGGAACAGTAAAGCTGTCATAATTTGCCTGCTATGTCCTGACTTCTAGAAGAACACTTAACACAGGCAGTTTTGTGTCTGATAAAATAAATGCTTTGGAATATCTGGAATGTGGTCGATGGGCCAGTGGGCAGAGCAGGCCATTGACATCTGATCAATTTGTGTCCTGGCTCTACTATTCTAGTTAATCTTTAGTGGAAACTTCATTTTCTTTATTTGTAATAGATTAAGAAGGATTTATTGGGATCAACTAAAATAATTTGAGGGAAAGGTGATAGGAAATTCAGATTTGAGTTCCTGTTATTAGTTCTGAGCATCAGAGGAAGAAAGATTTTTACCATAGCTCAGGTTGTATCTGCTCTAAGAACCAATGGAGACTTCTCTTCCTCCTATTGCTACCACTCTAGCCCACAGGCCATCTTCTTGGACCCCTGTGGAGGATCCCTGTCTACTACTCCCTTTTTTATGTACTTCTTGAACAGGGTGACCTCCTGTCACTTGCCTGCTTAGAAGCCTTCAGATGTTTTCTCTTAGGTAACCAAGTTCCACAAAGGCACATAGAATCCTCCTCGTGTCTCTTTCCACAACTACTCATTGAATTTCTTTCTTCCTTGTTACACTACATGCCAGCATTCCTTCTGTTCTCCAGCCAAAACAAGCTTGTTCCCACATCAAGCTCATTACCTATTACTATTTATTTTGCCTAAGGCACACTGCTCCAACAATTCAGCATGGCTGTTTCCTTCTTGTCATGTAGGTCACTTCCTCTGAGACCCATTTCTGGTCACACTATTTTTTTTAAAGAGTTATTTATTTATACATACAAGAACTGGGGTACAGGCCAGAGTTGTGGGGGGGTGAGAGGATTCACCAGAGACAGAGTGGGGAACAGAACAAGCAAATCGACAGAAATACACTGCTGAGGAAAGCAGCGGGCGAGTCAGGAGAGGTCTGCTGCGCCATGTGGGTTGCTCCCTGGCCAGCCGGGGGATTGAACTTGTGCTGCAGTGGCTGCGGTGAGCTTCATAGGTTGCGTTTTAACCCCTTACGCCACCAGGGAGGCCCC